AAAAATTATCAATTAGTATATCTTAAGCTAAAATCGGTGTATTAACTGATTAACCAGGTTTCTTTTTTACTACTTAGATTAACCAGCTTTTTGAAATATATAGGATACTTTCTTCTTCTAAAAGAACTTTAAAAAAAAAAATAGCACAACATGAACAATTATAATGACAGTCATAACACTGTCACAGTCCGAGCTGCCACATATGGTTGTGTAGGTTGAATATGGCTCAACTCTAGGGGCCATCACTGACACTTCTAGTCACCATGGATTTATACTTAGATAAGTCACTACTCCAAGGGAGGACAGGAAAGTATCTAGGTCAGGGTTGGCTTTATCTGACTCACAGGATTGGCCTAATGGTGAGCTCCTCCCATTTCCTAAATCTGTACCATGTGCCAGGCTCTGTTAAATGAGCTTTTCCCACATTACTTCATATAATCCTCTCAACAATCCTATGAGGGTAGAAACTATTATGTCAACCCCATTTTACAGATGAGGAAACTGTGACCTTAGTTCACTCAGTTAGCAAGTGGCACAATAAAACTTTAAGTTCTTTCTGACTCCAGAGTCCAAGTTCACCCAACTCTTAAATTCTATGTTATACTGATTTTTAATAAATATCAATACCTATCTACACACCAAATGGTGATTTTCATCTTTTAGATTTTTACCTCAAAGGTAGAATTACTGGGTCAAAGAGTAGATCTATTCTTAGGGTCATATAAATCTACTTTTGTCACCAATAATATAGCTAAGTTCCACTACATGTTTTCATCCACCATTTAGAAAATATTTATTGATCAAGTACTACTCTTCTAGGAGTTGGAGAAAGAGCAATGGCAAATAGACCACTTTCTTAGCTTAAAGAAGCTTAAAATTAAGGGGGAGCTAACAAGGCAGATTGTAGGCTATTATTTATTTTTGTTGCTATTAATCCTCACCTGAGATTATTTTCCCATTGATTTTTAGGGAGAGTGAGAGGAAGAGGGAGATACACAGAGAGAAACATCGATGTGAAAGAGACACATCCATCAATTGATTGCCTCCTGCACACAACCGAGGTATGAATCGAACCCGGGATCCTTCAGTCCAAAAGCACATACTCTATCCACTAAGCCAAACCAGCTAGGGCTAGAATGTTATTCTTATTCCTGTTTCTAACTTGGTCTGGATAAAATGTTAACCTCATTATTTAGATTTATATTTTTTATAAACAGTCATGGTGACCATGGATCCCAGTGAACTCTAGTGACTGCTGTCCTGCTGTATGGAGCAGTGGTGGAATTGAAACAGAAAAGGCAAAACATGGTCAGGAATTATGTCCCCCTTCTGAACACTTCTATAGCACTTTGTTTATACAATAGCATCATGCTTTATGACTTAGTTACTTGTGTGTGTCATTTATAGAATTCTTTCAGGCAGCACTCACATTACGTGAAACATTTTAAAATATTGGTTTTTGTGGGTACTCAATAAATATTTGTTAAATGAATGCAAATACTACCTGAATGACCAGTAATACAAAATAACGGAATAAAATAAAAGAATTGGTAATCTATCACACACACACAATCTTGTTTTAAAGAAAGTCTTAGAAATCACGACTCCACAATTATTATTTAAGACACCAAATATGCAATTATTTGTAATACTGCTTTGCGCTTTTTCCAAATCAGAGCTGATCTAAAATATCAGTTTTGAAAAACAGGCATTCCTAGGTGCCTCCTCATAGCATCTGATCTAGTTGGACTAAGAATTTATTTTTAATAAATTTTCCAGGTGAGTCTTATAATCAGGCAACATTTTTAAGAACTATTGTTGAAAAATGTGTGACATGGTAGAACTTGCAATGGATTGAAAATATGAAGACTAGAGAGTCCTGCATAGGTAAGCACAATTTCTAGTCCTACTTAATGCTGATTTAACAGATAAGATTTGGAGATTACTTATATGCCTGTTAGAAATGGCTTAGATGCTACTTTAATGTTGCCACCCTCAGTTTTGAAAATGGGTTTGTGACATGTCCATGTACAGGAGAAATAATCACTGAAGTTCCTTAACAAGATAGATGCCACATATAATAGAAATACTATAATTAGACTAACAGAAGGAGTTTCATATTAGAGAATGCTCTCCCGAATATAGAATTTGAATTAAATGATGCCCATGCACTCATGCTATCTTGTCTTGAGTTGGTCATATACGGTTATACTCATAAACACATAAACCTCAAAAAAGCTCTGTGAAACAGAGCAATTTAATTCCTGTGTATAACCCAGCAGATGTCTTTATATGTTTTCAAACATGTCCAAGAATACAGGAATGTACACAGACAAGAATGCTCATAGCAGCCATATTCATAACAGCCCTAAACCAGAAACAACCCAAATGTCCGTCAGCTGTAAAATAGTGAAATAAAGGGAATATTGTACAGTAATGACAATAAACAAATTATTGTTCAAACAACATGAGCGATTCTCACAAACTATTTGTGCAAAAGAAGCCAGCCATAATAGAATACGTATTGCACAATCTCATTTATATAAAGTGCAAAGCCAGGCCACCTAACCATTGGGATTAGATGTCAGGACACTGATTATCTGGGTGACTGCTTATTAGGAGAGGGCATAAGGGGGCCTCTGCTGGTAGTTTTTTATCAGATGCTGGTCATATGGGCATGTTAATTTTGTGAAAATGTATTGAATGGTACACTTGTAATTTTTGAACATTTCTGTAAGTATGCCATCTCACTAATGCAATTACTTTGAGAAAAATATCTGAGTATGTTTCTCCTCCAATTCTGCATTGTTCATACAATAGGGGAATGGCTGTTGGTTATCTCCACTGATGCACAGTCTCCTGTCCTACAAAGAGCTACAGAGAGTTTGTATAGGAAATGCATGACAATTTTCAAATGCAAAGATTATGCCTTTTATCTACTTCCAGTCTATTATTTACTTTGAATGTGTTTTCCAATAATGGCCCTATATCTTTGTGCTGATTCATCCTCTTGACTCTGCCTGATCCTCTGTAAGAAGATAGAACTCATTTATGTCAATGGTTCTAATGAAGTCTGCAAAAGAATAGACAAGGGCTAGGTTCTCCAAGGGTCACCTCTGTCGGCTGTATCCCCATCAGCCGTCATGAACAGACACTGCTTCCAGGCCAGGGGACCCTGTGCGTGAATGTGTTGACAAGGCATGTTTATCACCGATTGGAATGACAGGTCACTGGGTCAAGAGCCCTATTGTGGATGAGGACAGCAAAGGTGGCGCTGGGATTGAGCTGAGGAGCTGTTGAAAGATCAGTAATGGAAAACAGCTTGGATGGCAAACAATGTGGGAGCTGCCAGAGACCTCCATCAATTTCTTTGGCTATTTTGGGGGAGCCTCTCTCCAATCCTTTGGTGGGCTCTCCCATACAACCATCAGTACCTACAGTTCTTTCTCAGAGGATTTAGGGGTTCCAAAGCTGCTTCACCAGCAAATGCAGGGAGCAGGGAGCCTGGGAATCTGCATCTCCCCAGGGGGACACGTAGCGACAGCTCCTTCACCTCTGCTTCAGGGACCCCTAAGTCAGGATCAGGACAAGGATGAGGTAAGAGAGGAACACTATTTAAGGGGAGCCCAAAAATTTGGTAATCAAGATAATATTTCAGTACAATACTTCTAAAAATCAAAATGAACATAAAATCCATGATGATCAAAGTATCATTTAGTGGGAGGACACCTCTAGGGGGAGCTCTGGAGCATGTCACACTCAGAAGTGTCCTTGAACCAGAATGGAACCCGAGGTGAAAGGAAAAATCCGTAATACCACTCTTGTTTTTATTTCAAATGGCAATATTTTGATTATCATAAATTTTATGCTCATTCTTATTTTTTTTAAATATATTTTTATTGATTTCAGAGAGCAAGGAAGAGGGCGAGAGAGAGAAACATCAATGATGAGAACCATTGATGGGCCTCCTCCTACATGACCCACATTGGGGATCGGGCCTACAACCAGGGCATGAGCCCTGACCAGGAAGCAAACCATGACCTCCTGGTTCATAGGAAGGCGTCCAACTACTGAGCCACACGAGCCAGGCTGTTCATTCTGATTTTTTTAAATATTGCACTGAAATGTTATCGTGACTACCAAATTTTTGGCAGGGAGGGGCCACGTGTCATTTTGATTTGGGGGTTTTCTTTTGCCTCACAGGATTGAACCCCCTCACCAGGCTCCTTCTCTCACCTCCATCCAATTTGCAAAGGGCACCTCTCTCAGAGCTGTCACCTTCCCAGGACTGCCTCCAGAGGCGCATGCTCACTCTGAGCCCTTTCCCTGTGCTCTTGGTCACTGTTGTTATACTTCCTATCATCTTCCTTTGTCTAGCAATGATTTTATCTCAATCTCCTTTTATTCCCTTTCACACAGTAAGACCCTCACCCCCACACACACACCCCTCTCTAACCCAACTTGTGGGAAAGCTTCTGTGGAAAGCAGTCTTTGTTTTTTACCCACAGGTAAGTGGACCATGTTCCACCAAAGGCATTGGAGCTGTGCACTCTTGTTTCGCTTGTAGACTGGTAACTTAAAGGATATTTGGAGAGATTTGGATTCCAGCAGCTGCCATTATCTTGGACTCTGGAAGTCCTCTCCACCCCTGTTTTGACCCCTTTTGGAGAGTCTGCTGAAGCCAGAACCTTCTCTTACTCAGCTGCCTCATTTTAACCTTCTTCCTGAGCCCTTTCTCCCATCCTCAGGCCGACAGCCTCAGTAGTAGAAAATGTGAAGCAAAGAACAGTGCTTAGACCTTAGCATTCCAAGTGCAATACCCCTTTCACAGAAAATAATATTTTTTTTAATTTTTAATTTTTTTATTGATCTTAGAGAGAGAGGAAGGGAGAGGGGGAGAGAGAGAAACATCAATTGGTTGTCTCCCACACACCCTCCAGGGACCAAACCCACAACCTGGGTATGTGCCCTGACCAGGAATCAAACTGGCGCACAGGACAATGCACAATCAACTGAGCCACACTAGCCACAGAAATTCCCCTGAGCATACTTTCATATTTAAATCATTGGGTGCATGGCTAGAACTGTGGCCTTGGCCATCTTCCCTCCCACCCCCCTGGAACAAGAGAGGCTGCCAATGAGTATTTAAGTTTTCTAACCTCTACACTGGGAGGGAGAAGGGGGCTAAAATGGATGTTGGATCCGCTGACCAACATTGCCCATCATATTCACCTACTATATCTCATCAATCATTCTTTCTGCTCACTTCACCTCATGGCATCATTCTTGAATCTCCACAGCCACCTCCCTAATCCAAAACCGCATCCCCTATAGCCTCCACTTAAAAAAAAAAAAAAACACACCTCCAAAATGGTTTCTAGTTGTTATGTGCTTTTGCTGTAGTATTTGAGACTATTCAATTCTGCTATAAAAGACAAAACAAACAGGAAGGATGTAACTCTTGTTGGGGTCCAGCCTTAGCAGGTCCAGGGGTTCCCAAAGGTGTGGACTGAGGCCGCGAAGAATGAAGGACACAGAGGCAGCGTTCAGTTGATGGGTCTGGAGGTGCAAAGGGAGAAACAGTGGGTGTTGGACGGCACAACAATCTGATGTCTTGTGTTCTAAATGCTGAGTCCTAAAGCTAAGAATCAGATAAAAACACACGAGTCAGAAGCCAGCAGGCTTGCTCCGCGCTCCCGCCTGGATTCACAGGGGCACGTGGCTGAACAGGTAGGACAGGGATTCACCATTGTGGTTACTGCGGATCGCCTCGGCCAAGATCATCGAAATGTCAATAACCTGGATCTTGGAGCAGTGACTCATTTTGTCCTCTTGCGGGATTGTGTTTGTGACAACAACGGCCTCAAAGGGGGCACTATTTATTCTGGAAATAGCCGGCCCAGAGAAGATCCCATGGGTAAGGATGGCATAAACTTTGGTGGCTCCGGCCGAGATCAGCTTGTCAGCAGCGTGGCAGATGGTGCCACACGTGTCGGCCATGTCATCCACGAGGATGGCCGCATGGTTCTTCACGCCGCCCACCAGCACCATCCGGTCCACTTCGTTCGCCTTCTTCCTCTCCCTGTGGATCAAGGCAAATTCCACATTCAACCTGTCTGCTATCGACGTGACCCTTTTGGCTCCGCCCGCGTCCGGGGACACGATGATGCAGGTCCTCCAATCGGCGACGTTCTCCCCAATCCACTGCAGGACCGCGGGCTCCGCGGACAAGTGATCCACCGGAATGTTAAAGAAGCCCTGGATCTGGGGAGCATGCAGGTCCATGGTGATGATGTGGTCTGCGCCAGCGGCACGCGAGAGCATATCCGCCACAAGTTTCGCAGAAATCAGAGCACAACTCCGGTCCTTCTTATCCTGGCGGGCGTAGGGGAAGCACGGGATCACGGCGGTCACCCGGGACGACGACGCGATCTTGCAGGCCTGGATCATGAGGAGGAGCTCCGTCAGGTTGTCAATGACCGCCCCGCCGCCGCTCCGGATGATGTACGCATCCTTCCCTCTCACGCTTTCACGGATCTCCACTCTGGTCTCCTGGTTGCTGAACCTCTTGGTGACCACCTTGCCCAGCTCCAGGCCCAGCCGGCCGGCCACCTGCTGGGACAGGTCCTGGTGGGAGCTGCCGCTGAACAGCATGATGTTGGTCATCTTTGGGCTCGAAGGGGGCGCGGCGGAGACAGACGCAGAGGGGGCACCAGAGCCTGCGGCGGGAGCGGGAAAGCACGCAGCTGGACAACGGTCGAGCGCCAGATGTTGGGGTCCAACCTCAGCAGGTCCAGGGGTTCCCAAAGGTGAAGAAGGAATGACACCGAGACTGCGTTCAGTTGATCAGCAGCCTAGCCAGGTTCTCCAGGCAGGATCTCCAGCCAGGTTCTGTCACAGAAAATAATAACCTCCCCTAAAAATATTTTACAATGCATGACAATTCATGAAGCTCCAATGCGAAATCAAAACCCTGTCACATAAAAAGCTCTAACTACACATGTAAACAAGTCTATGCTCTAAGTGGAATATTACGTTGGATTCATGGCTTTAAATTTATTTCATTACCAGCTATCTCGTGGCAAATGAAATGCTGAGAAGCCGGAATGAGAAGGGACTGCTCTGGTTCCCCTGCTCAGGAATTTCATCTCATACATGTGAGGTGCCATCTTCTGGCGAAAGCGCTTCTGCACCTCTAACCCACAGCAAGCATTTTCTCTGAAACAGCCTATAATAATAGCATCCGGCCCACTTATTTCTGAAATAAATATAAAAAGGGAAAAGTCCTTTTGCTATTATTTAATCAGTTAAAAATATGAGTCTTCGAAATAAGTGCTGGGGATGATATCAATGTCAGTTTCCTGGTGTTGATATTGTACCGCAGTGAGGCGAGGTGCTAACATTGGGGGAGGCAGGGTGATGGATGCAAGAGGCCTCCAGGTACATCTCTTTGCTACTTCCTGGGTATCTATAATTATTTAAAACAATTTTTTTTAAAAAATTAAAAAAAAAATAATGACAAAAAAAGAAAGGTTTTCATGTTCTATAGGAAAAGCTTTTAGTTTGAAAGATAGGACAGCCGTTATTAGCTGGGATTCAAGAGACAAGCTGTGCAGACATACTGCCCAGCAACCTAAATCCCATTGCAGATGATGTCAGTGAGAAATGCTTCACGTGCATCTGGGAAATTGATCTGCACTGATACCCAGGGCCACAGGAGTGGCTGTCTCAGGACTTCAGCTGACACTTGGCCTCAAGTGCTTGTCTTCATCCCGACCTGCTGGCTGGGAAATGTCTCTGAGCACACCTCATGTATTGTGCCATCGTTGCCTGTGTGTGACAGGCTGAATAAAAACCCCCAACGATAGCCGGTCCTAATCTCTGGGTCCTGTAAATGTCACCTGGTTTTGAAAAGGGGCCTTGGCAGATGTTGTTAAGGATCTGGAGGTGAGGAGACCATCCTGGCTTATCCAGCTGGGCCCTAAATGCAATCGCCAGTGTCTTCATAAGAGAAACACAGACAGAGATTCCACACAGACACGCTCCAAGGGGAAGGCAATGTGAAGGCAGAGCAGAGGAAGGTCTGCAGTTTCTGATGTTGGAGAGTGGAATGATGCAGCCACCTGCCAAGGAATGCCAGCAGCCCCAGGAATGCCAGGCCGGACCAGGCAAGGAACAGATTTTCTCCTAGAGCCTCTGGACACCTTGATTTCAGCCCAGAAATACTGTATGTAGAATTCTGGCCTCCAGAACTGTCAGAGGAGAAACTGCTGTTGTTTTAAACCCCTAAGTGGATGACAGCAGCCACAGGAAACGAGTATGTCATGAGGGTAGGAAGTTTCCTGCACTGACCCAAACGGGATCCTTTGGACACCATGGATGGAGCACTAGATAGGGCATCAAGAGGCTTATGTTCTAGTTGATGTCTGAGGTCTCTTCTGCCTCAAAGATCCTGGCATATTACTAACTTCTGCTGCAGTTGCAACCTCTGTGCTCATGGGGGGAAAGATAAGTCTTCTAAAAGTAAGTGTGCGTCCTTTCTATCTCATATTGTAATAGGCATATTCAGATGCTAATTGAAGTCCATTATCTTCTCCTACCATAGCCTGAGTATGTAATCTAATTAGTTCCAAACCTGCCCTACCATTTCTCATTATGTTGACATAATGATTTTCAGAATGTTGCAACTGCAAATGTGATCTGTGATCTGTGCATCAGCATCACCTGGGAACTGGCTAGAAACGCAGGCTCTCCTCTCAGGCCTCACCCCAGACTTACTGAATTGGAACCTGCCTTTTCACACACGTTGCAGATGACTGTATTGTGCATAGTAAAGGTTAAGAAGCTCTGCTCTAGGACCCAGGAAACCAGCTACATCTCCAACGGCCTCACATAGCTGAGCCTTCATGTAAATTCTCAACCCTAGGCTTTATGCTACCCGGAAATGTCAGTGTTTTAAAGCACACCTTACCTTTCGCACAGATATAGCATCTACTGCCGCATCAGCACGCAGGAGATGGCGCTGACATAACACATACCATTCATAACACTGTCAACGTGGTCGTTTCCCTAGGAAATAAAGGCTGTGTCTTTTCCCCAGCATTTGCTAAAATACCGCTTTTATTTGTGGCTCTCCCACTGCCAGGCCTCATGTTGTTTTCCTCAAGCGGTGTTATGCTGGTGCCAGCTGGGAAGGGCCAGCTCAGCCCGCTGGGTTTTCCTTTGCTATTGTCACTATGCTCACAAGGTAGCAGCCTCGCCTTCTTTGGTGCCCAGTTTGAGAGCTCCGGGGGTGTTCCCTGGGCTTGTCTTCAGTTTGTTTGGGAACAGTGATGTTTCCATAGTTCCGATTGCTCGGTTTGTCTGGCTTCCCACTACCAATGTGTTCACCCTCCCTGGGGCAGATTTGTCCATATTTGTTTCCCTCGTTTGCAACAGTGCAGCATTTTGACCCTATTTCACAGAAACACACGGTGCATTTCTCCTCATCCTGCCCTAATTGTTTAGTTTAGAGTGTGCCCTGTTTTGTCAAGATGAAAGTAAAAGTTGGCTTTCGTCTTTTAGCCATTCCAACCCACATTCCATGGATGTGAACGTGGGATCCTTGAAGCTCATACCTGGGGACACACCTTTTTTCCCTAGTTGTTTTTAGAGGAAATGATTTCCTGTCTATATTTGTCCGCTGGAGAACAGTCTGTGATCACCAAGAGAAAAGAAACTAAAAAATAACGAATTACTCAGAGAAAAACTCTTTGCTAGTGACTTAGTGAATAAGAAAAATACAAACCTCACATCAACCTGACTTAAATCCTACCTCTCTTTGGAACAGGCCTCCTGGGGTTGCAGACTACGCCATCAAAGCCACAAAAAGCAAATAATCCAGGAAATCCAATTGCCAGGGCCGGAGGATACATAGGAGCAAGTCAACTTTAATTCCACTCTCTTGGCCAGAAAAAGCAGAGGAAATATAGGAATGGATTCAATGCTACCCATTCTTCAAACCAAATATTTATTTACAATAGCCATATGGCCAACGTTTACTTGATTTGATATTTGTATTTGTTTTCTATTTCCCCCTAGGCAACCTGAGAAATAAATGGTTATGTTTTTAAAATAGGATTAAGAATGAATTGGCCATAGAAAGACTTAAGACTCTACCAGGCAAAGAGAACAACATAGGCAAAGGTTCTGAGGTGGGAACTTTGACCTTACTATTTTCAGAGAATGAGAAAGGGGCCAGTGTGGTTATCATCTTCTCCCATATTATAAGATCCACTCCCGTATATTATATATTTGGTGGTGAAGATCAGGATGAAGAATTTGAAAATGGAAGAGCTAACGATCTAAGATTCTAGAAACCACAACTGAGTCAATCCTTTTGCTGTGACCAAAGGCAGTGTCATTGCTTTCACACAGGACTCCCAACCATGTAAAGGCTTCCCATCTCTCAAAATCTATAGAGGAATTCAGGGTGGATTTCTAGAAATAATGTGAGACAAAGCATTTGTCATTGAAGAAAACATTAAGCAGTATTTCTAAATTAGATCCCTCCATCCCTTCCCCCAAATAAATGGGTCTTTCTTTTTAGCAAAGGGCTGTAGAATTTTCCTAAGGAATTTTTTTTTATTTTGGTTCTAGCCTCGCAAAAATTTTACTTTCAGTTAACTCAAAATATAGAAAACTCTTCTTCATTGCATTAAGCACAATGAAAATAGCGACAAAACCTACAAGAGGCAGAAGGATAGGTCAAGGTAGTCAAGCTTTTGGCCCATGTTCCATAATATCTCCACGGTTAGTAGTCTACTGGTTGCTTTCATATGTAAGAAATGGGGTCCCTAAACTAGGAGTCAGAAAGCTTGGGTTCCAGGCCTGGATAAAAGCCTAAGAATAAAGTATATGTCTTGTTCACCTTTGTACAATTAGCTCTTTTGAGGAAACAGTAATTTAGTACTAAATAAAGGGCTGGTTGCTGGCTGGCTGGCTAGCTCACTGGCTGGCTGCATAAGTGAGTGAGCTGAAGGGAGGAAACAGAGCACAGGCCAGAATAAAATTGCTCAAAGTCAGGTCTTTTAAGAAACATTGCCAACGGATGATTAGTTTTCTCTTAGTTGGCCATAGATAGGAAAATAGACATTGGCTTCACTTCCAATCAAATACTCAAACCATTCCATAAAGATAGGCATTAGCCATTTGATTTTGAGAAAATCTATCAAACTCTGTTGGCATCAACATTCTCATCTCTAAAATGAAGTAGCTAGACAAGGCTATTTCTAGTTTCTTTTCATTTCTAACTCCTTTGGGTTCTATGATATTCACTACTAGGCACAAGAAGATCCTTGATCATGAGAAATGTATTTTAGAACCTCAGTTTAAGGGCAGTGGCCTTTCTGCCATTTTCTCTTTCAACTTGGGAAAAAATGCTTAGAACACTGACATTAATCTCATCAAAAATATTGAACTAGGCATTTTAAGCACATGAAATATTTACATTGAAAGAAAAAAGAAATAATAAATCCTTGTTTTCTGTGGAGTTCTCAATTTTATAATTCATCTTGTTATGTGGCCAAAAATCTCTTTGGCGAGAGTCTAATTCCATCCCCCATGCCACTCTCAGAATTCTCCATCTGATATGCCTGATGATTGGTCATAATTCCTTTCCTTGTTTAAAACACCTCTTCCCACTTTTTCCTCAGGGAAAATTGCCTTTTCTCACTTCATGTCATTCTGGTGATAGGGGCAGGGACTTTTACCAAGATGTGCCACCTGACACAGGAGTGGGCACAAGACCAGTG